TATATATATATATATATATATATTTCAACTAATCTACAAAAAAATGACATATTTTAACCAATTGAGCACATTTTTCCTTAAAATCTACTATTACTAATAAAATAAAAAAATCCAAATTAAAATAGAAATAATGTTAAACAATTACTCCTTTCTTTTTACAAATTTTACAAGAATGATCACCAATAATTTGCTGTGTATCTCACAACATTCACACACATAACTACTCCAAACCACAATACATAAAAAACAATCTATAAATCCCTAAAATACCCCAATTTTTTTCAAACTCAATAATTCCAAGAGCAACCCATATCTACCGGACCGGCAGAACCGGAAGGAATGTTCCTCTCAAAAGATCCCCGGATCAAACCGGAGCTCTCCGAGATCACGGGTTTTTGGTAATTTTCACTTAGCTCGGTTGCTTGGCCTTGGAGCAGCATCTTCAATATTGAACTGTCTTGTAAGAATACCGAATCAGAGTAAAGCAGAGAACCGATATTGTTGTTCGGTATCAACTGGGGAAGACTTGGGGAAGAAGAAAGCGGTTGGAAAGCCAGCGTAGAACCGAATAAGGGAGGGGTAAATCTGTCATTTGACTCAAGCCGCCGCTGAGGTGTCTCGCGGCCGGCTGTTGCTTGATCGGAGAAGCAGGTCACGTGAGACGCAGAACCGGCACCGGTTAAGGAGTCTCCGCCACCAAATTTGATGTACGGAGAAGAATCCGTAAGAGGAGGTAAACCGGAGGTTGAACCGAATTGGTTGTCATGTGAACCAATCCCCGTTAAACCGGAGATATGTACTTTCTTGCCATCGGCTCGTTTTTGAAAAACACGACAAATCACCCACTCGTTCTGCATTTACGAACACATAAAAACATCAATGGACTCGGCGATAAAAAGTCAAAAACAGAGATCAATACACAAAAACATATAAACTCGTGTCTATTAATGTTTTTTTTAACCTTTGCGGCTTTGGAGAGATAGTCTGCAGAGTATTTGCCTTCCAAGCGGTATTCGTGCATGACCCAATTGGTTTTTTCGCCTTTAGGAGCTCTGCCTTTGTAGAAAACTAGAGTTTTCTTCATACCGACGAGTGATTTGCCTTTAAAGATCTCCTTGTCTTTGCCGGTGGCTTTCCAATAACCGGCCTCGGTGGCCCGGTTCGTCCTTAAACCGGTCGGGTATTTCCGGTCTCTTACACAGAAGAAGTACCACTCCTTCTCCCCCATCTTAGCCCTCCCTAATCAATTCCACCAAAGAAGATCATGAGAACTTGCCAAAATATTTCAGAACTCGAGAGATTTCAACGGACCCAGATAAGAAAAAGCTGTAAAACTTACAGGGCAGGTCCCAAGGTTCGACCTTGTTGAGATCGACTTCACCGATGGCTCGTGCGGAGAAGGAGGCGTTTAGAACCTTCGGTCTCAGGTAGTGGGTTACGAGTTCTTCATCGGTCGGATGAAACCTGAAGCCAGGAGGAAGATTGATGCGCTCTTCCTCTAATTCTCCCACTCCCTCCGCTACCTCTCCGATTCTAGAGGCGTAATCCATTTCCTTCAAACGAGATTCTTCTGAGTTTTGTCGAAAGTTTTGAGCTTTTGCAGGAAGAAACAAAAAATATTCCTTCTTCGGGTGTTTTGGGAGCGAAGAGAAGACGATAGAGAGAAGGGTTTTGGGGAAAGAGAGAAGAAAAATGGGTTTTGTAAAGAGAGGAGAAGACGAAGAGTTTCAAATCCGAATGGTTCTTAAGTTGACGTCAGGGGGAGGGACCTTAGCAGGTCGTGTATATATATGCATGTATATATGTATATGTCCGTGTGTGTATAGGTGTGTTCCAAGGTTTGGCGGTATATGTGTATATATGTGTACATATATTATATATATATATATATATATTCCGAGGTTAGGCGTGGGCCGCCTCTATTGGCGAGACGCGTGAGTATACAAAAGTCTTTCTCTCTCTATCTCTCCATATATATAATCATAAACACACACATACATATATATGACACAACTAATAAAACGTCATAAATAAGAAAAAATCTTCGCAAGGAATTAAGGACGATGAATTAGTGGATGACCGTTTTTTCTAATTAATGAAGTATAATTTTTAGCAAAAATTGGTTAATTACTATCTGTGCAGAAGTTTTTGTTTGCTATGCGGAATTTAATCCGAATCAATATGGATAATAAAAGACAAATAACAAAAAATAATTCTAAAATAATGATACACATAACCATCGGAAAAATGGATTCACTAGTGGAAATCTCCAACTCGGTTGAAAAATGACAAGCCTCCTCTACACCAAGTTGTGCCTCCGATTTTTTATGAGATCTTAATTTTTTTTAAACCGGCCAGTTTCGGATGGTTTATCCACTCTACATTGTTTGTCGGCTATTGTTCGAAGTTGGAGATTTTTATCCAGGGGACGAACGGTGTCCGATCTAAACGGCTGTGGAGACGGGATCCCACCATTTATCAAAATAATAATAATAATAATGGATTGCGCATATACTATAATTATTTTTTACTAAGGTGACCAAGAGGGAGCGACTAAGATGGTTAGGTAACTTTAGATGTGTAATTTTCGGTTTTTTTAAGGGAAAAAAATCAATTTCATAAACTATAATATTTTCTAAAATTTTAATTTGACCACGAACGTCTCTGTGGTTCCCCATACTTCTCTAATGTGATAAGACCAAACATATCACTACCTTTTTATTTTATAATTATTTGTTTGCGTCCAAAAAAATAATTTCTCCCTCACTAATTGAAATGATTGATATTATCATCATTCCAACAATAATGATTCAAAAATAGGTTGAATTCGAAACTTTAAATTTTAAGTTGAATTTGTTGAGTATAGGTGCTACATATTGATATTTTTTTCTTATCAAATCTCTTTATATTAATATAGAAATGAATGAATCCAAAATAAAGTGATGAAAATTTTATTTTACTAAGAAATATTAAGAAATTTGATCTGAAATATTGTGTAAAGAAAAAAAGAATGTATCATGAGCCTATGTTATATACATATACATAGTGAACCAAGACATGGAAATTGGAATAGCTTTTTTATAATCACAAATTATTATATTGAAAAATTGTCAAATGATTGGTACTAAAGAAATATAGAAAGAAAGCAGACATGACATGCTAAGTCATATCAATCAACAATATTAATCATTATTTGAAATCCCAAGGTTATATTTATCTTTTTTGGATGGAATGGTTTTTCCAATGTAATTATCAAAGAAAAACATACTTTTGGTTGCATGATCATTATCGATCATATTATTAATTAGTATTACCTTTTATAATAAATTTAAAAAAACGGTGTAATATATATATATATATACTGTATGCCAGAAAGTATTTTATGAACCTTTTAAAGTAAAGTAATGTTCGTTCGCATTTGGATGTGTAGCAAAAGTCTAGTTCTTTATGTTTTCCTCTTTTTAAAAAAATAATTTCGACCATCCAAAGTCGCATGCAACACCTCAACTAAAACAACCAATAAAATTTGTCAATTCCTTCTTCAGACTATTATGATTTATCGTTTTTTTGTAAAAAATTAAATCCATCTGTTAATTTTTTGAAAAAAAAAAGAAAATCAGATGAATTTTGAAAATTTTGAGAGAAAATCGAATAAACAGTTAAAATCGGAGAGAAAATTAGAAAAATTATTAAAATTTAGAAAAATAAATCGTTATAAAATTTTAAGGAAAACGAGTTTTAATAATTAAAGGGGGAGGACTCTTTTTTTTTCCAAATATATTCCAATATCTACATGATGGCGAAAAATATTAATATTTACATGATTCCAAAGGTCATTAGTTCGAATGGACTACATAATATTAAAATTTTTATATCAACACTAGATCGTAATATTCTTTTAACAAAAAAAACATTAGATCGTAATATTAGTACCTAGGACCTTATAGCGGGATAACGTTATCATAAAATAAAATTTGGCACATAACAATTTCACTATAAAACCCATACATCTAATTATTTATTGATCTAATGATAATTCGTTTGAACTCGAAGATTAGACAACAACAAAAACCCTAATCACGTTTTAGATTAGTTGCTTCAAACTCATGATCCATGGTGATGGGCGTTTGCGTAGATGCCATTGATTATTGGTAGGCCAAATAAAACCCACGTATTATTGTGCATGTCTGCATATATATATATATGTGTGTGTGTGTGTGTATGTATATGTATGTATATGTATCAACTTCATTGATTATATCCATGTGAAGGATGATGATGAAAAAAAAGCAAAATCAGTTGGGCAAGGTGACAATTCAAACGACCTTTTACCGTATCATATGCGATTCTTTTGTCTACGTATAATCATGTTTTCGTTCATACGAGGTTGTCATTTACCTCTGCTATGTTTTCTTTATTGGTTAATGTTAGAAATATAATATATATATATATGTAATAAAACATATATATACATACAGAGGAAGTCAATCATAGCGAATTACCAATAAATCACTTTGCTAATCATTCGCGCCACGTCTCTTAATCTTTCCCTCCTCTTTCTAGAAAAAGAGTCTACACTTTTACCTCACAATGACGTGATGACACAAGTAAAGTAACTCCCCCAGTCTTGGGTATTTACACGAAGAACCTAATTAATTATATTGATATTCGTATAATTACTTAATCAAGAAGTATATAATTTCATAAGAGTTTAGAATATAATGATCAACATCATGTATATATAGTTTATATTTTTATTTATTTTTTATTCGCCTACAAATTTAATATAGAAACACGTGGTTTTTTTTAGATTCATCGATTTTTTTTATTAAGTTATATTAATGATAAGGAAACGAAACATTCTTCGCGGATAACCCTAATTTAGGTTTAATAGTACATCCAAGGGAATAATAACTCATTTTTATAGGATATGTACCCTGTAATCATAACACATTTAAATCAAATTTTTTAGATACTCATCTAATATGCAAAACCCAACAAAAAACATAGCCCCAAAAATATCCTTCATATGTGCCAAAGCAAACATAGCGGCCAAGGGTGTTTTGGTAATTTCGATGTCTAAATGAGATTAATTAATTGTTTACTTGATTTGTCAAGCCATCATTAATGCCAAAACCAAATCCTTTCCCTCCTGAGGAGGATAGTGATTAGTGAGCCCCCAAAACGCGTGGCGCTTCGTCTTGAAACGGCAAGAGTTTCGATCGTATTGGCAATCTCTCTTGATCCGACGGCTGGCGTTAAATCGTAATGTCAACATCGGAGGGAGCGTTCGGGGAGACACGTGGCTAGTTCTCATTCGATGACGAGAAAATAAGTGCCAAACCTTGGCTTCCCGGGGCGAGACAGAGGGGAATACGACAGTTGTCTATATTTCATTGGTGGATATGCCCGAGAAAAGAGGACGACCAGTGTTGGGAACTTGGAATTTCTTTTGTTCTTTTTGTTAATTAAGTATAAAGTTAGGCGACCGAATTTTAGTGGATAAAATTAAATTAATTAACCAATGGAAGTAAAAGAATTTAGAATCATAGTTGGATAAGAGTAAGGAGAATGCTTGTTTTTTTTTTTTTTTTTTTTATAACGGAGCGTTCTGGGCCGAAGTCCAGACTAATCTCCGGACCGGGAGCAAGCCATGTGCTTTGAAATATTCGCTCCTCTCCCCACCCTGGGGCTCGAACTTGGGGCGGAACAAGTGTTTTGCACCTCCATTTCACCAGTTGACCTATCTAGGTTACGTAAGTACATGCGTAATTTCGGTATTTTATTTTATTAATGTAATCCATACGTAATGTTGAGGAGGCGAGCATATAATATAATTCACATGTATAAAATCAACGTGTATAAAGTTATTAAGACAATATTTACAGATTATCATTGTGTGGACTGTTAAGACAATTTGGTTTAGTTTGCTTTTGTTTGATTAAGTGTTGTGTATTTTTTTTCACAGAAATCAATTTTAAAACTTTTTTTTTAACTTGATCATGATACACCAAATTTATATGAATTCTAATTAAATTATCTATATATTCCATAAAAAATTATTATTAAATTGTTGGATTTGGAATTACATGTCAATTTGATTGGGTTGGGAGTACACGTGTGGACAAGCTAACAATACAATATATATATATATATATATATATATAAGGTGATTTGGTGAAGAGCCTAATTCAATGGCGGCAGCATAAGTTGAAATTATTTTGGATCGACTGTTATTTCATTATATCTTGAGATTTTGTTTTAATAATAATCAAAGTGGACAGTCTTTCCTTTGGAACATATTTTTTTTATATTTTTTTTTTATGAAATGTGATTGAATTAATACCAAAGAAAACAAATGTCATAATATTTACAAATTAGAGATAGCTCTAAACAGATCTCCCATAAATAGATGGGGAAAATTACATGTTCCTACATGAAGTAATGCGATACCACTGCTGTAATAATTTGTTTTCTGTCGCGCCCGGATTATGGAGAGAGATTAGTTTGTTCCTCATGGTCCGATCAACCTTGAGTCTTGCTTGGTGGATAATAAGGTGTCGGTCTCTATGAATGCGAGAATTTCTTTCCATCCAAATGGTGTATGTGATAACCTGCGTGAGTAACTTCTTAATCGCAGCTTCGTCACGGTTCGTAGATTGGTTAGTCCAATCCAGAAAATATCGAATATGTGTCGGAGGGGGGTCTTCCATTAGCCGTCCAAAGTGCAACCAAATCGAGCGACTAAATCTGCAACCAAAGAACAGGTGGGGATGTGATTCCAAATCGGCGCAACATAGAATGCACCGATTCGGAGCTTGGATTCCCCACGTCTCGAGCCGGTCGGTAGTCGGGAGACGTTCTTGGAGCACCTGCCACGTTAAGAACGCATGCCTTGGAGTAGTCTGTCGGAACCATGCTAAGCCACAGCCTTCGAACGCAGTTCCCGGAGATCTCAGTTGTTCCCATGTTTGCCTAGAGGAAAAGAAAGTCTTTCGAGTGCCTCCCATGTGTCGCCAGGTTGGGAGGTCCGGACCAGCATCATTAGTCGGTGGATTCAGCTCTAGCAGCTTCAGATGTAGCTCTGGTATTCTATTGCTTCTCGCCGGCGGAAGAGACCAATTGCCGTTGCGCACAGCATCGGCTACAGTGGCACTCTTCGGCAACCGCAGTAGACCTGGTCCTGTTTCACCAATAAACACAATGAGAGGGCCAATATCTAGCCAAGAGTCATACCAGAATGATGTATCTCTCCCATTTCCGAGCTTGACTCCAATGAATTCCCGGACCTGATTGCGCATCTGTAGTAGCTTACGCAGATTCCAGCTCACATTTTGTTATATTTGTTGTTTGGTATACATATCTTTCATATATAAAATCCAAACAATTTGGTTACAGTCAGATTTTTGTTTTTGTCTTTATATATTCTATATAGAAAAAATCTTCTCTTAATAAACCCTTGAGCTATATACTTATAAGCCAAAGTCCGAAGTCTCTTATTGATAACATGGAAAATATAAGGACGATTATTTTGTGTCAGAAGGTATATATCATATTATTTCTGCTATCGTTTACAAATGGTACTTGAGTAAAAAAAAAATCATTATTCCAGTAAATTATAATTCGTCATCCATTTGCATAGTACAAATATTTGAATATATATATATATATATCGAAAAATCATATATAAATACATAAATTTTTACAAAATTTTCAAATAAATATATAAATCATAAAACTTGAATATAAATATCTTAACTTTTCAAAACTTTCACTAAAATATTCATATCTTAATGTGTATAAATATTAAGTCATCAATTTTTCATGTATTCCGTCGTAAATTAAACACCGTTAACATTACAAAAAATATGGTCATTTTCAATGGGCAAATCCGTTGGAAATTAATGTTTCCAATGGATAAATCCGTTGGAATTTCGTCGTTGGAAATCGGAGTCCTTGGACAACCGTTAGAATTTTCAACGGATTTTTCCGTTGGAAATTCCGCAATCCGTTGGAATTTTTCAATTGAATTTCCAACCACAATTCCAACGGAATTTCCAACCGATATCCGTTGAACAATTCTAACGGAATTTTTAACCGAAATCCGTTGGAATATTTCAAAGAAAAATTCAAAACATATTCCCGATCCCGATCCCAACCATGGCTCCGGTCCTGGTCCCGACCCCGACCCCAGCCCTGGCTCCGGTCCTGGCCCGGCCTGGCCCCATCCCAGCCCCGGCTCCAGCCCCGATCCCGACTCTATATAGAATCCGAATATCTGAAATTTAATCCCCGAACTCACTTCCCAATAGGTCATCCATCCTCCCACTACTCCACCACAATCTTTCTTAACCCTATAGTTCCAATTGACAATCTCCAACTACTCCAAATTAAATTTCTAATATCATATAACATTAATATATGTTCATATATAAATATTTATACATATATATATATACACACACATATACATATATATATACTTATTCGTATATATATATACGTATATATATACATTATATTTTTACATATAAAAATATATATACACAAAATATACCTATATTTATACATATGCATGTATACGTATAAATATATAAAATACATGTATTTATATATATATATATATATATATATATTAGTATATATATAT